AAACCATTAAATGCATTCAAAGTCAACAAAGATAACTTACCAAAGGTGGGGGAGGTATCTCCCTGGTTCCGCTCTTTAGTAGCTTCCTCACCGCAGCATCTTGCAGGGCAAGGGCTTTCCGAGTTTTCAATGCTTCTGAATCCATGAATCCTGCACAGAATTAGGAAGAAGTTAGAACAACAACACAAAGATACCTATAATCATAATGCGTGTGGAAGACCCCCCCCCATCATACCCTCTGAGCGGAAGACAAGGCCAACTGTTCAAAGCTTCTTTTCATCCTCTAGAAAGGCTCGGTTGGGTATCCAATTCATGGGTAATTGAACACCGTCAGCATTGGCCACGAGACCCTTAGTTTCCAACAAAAGGGCAACTACAGCTTCCTTCCTGTTCATGGGTGGAACGTCGAAATTTAAACTCAAATTGGGTTCCCCTAAATTCGGGATCAATGGGATGTCCCAAGTACGACAGTAAACAAACATAAATTGGCTACGCCAGTTTTTGACGTTTGATTGTTGGTCGTGCACCACTTTGTAGCCATTGCGGATGCGAAAGGCCCACCAACCATGACCGAAATTTGAATCCTTAGAGGGTATCAATTTGAACAAGTTTCTCCAAAGCCTTAAAGTTGGAGTGTGCCCTATCATGGTACAAACCACCAAAAAAGAGTACACTTTCAGCAAAGAGTTAGGCGTCAAATTACAAATGGCTAAGTTGTATTCCCGCAACAAAGTCCTGACAAAAGGGTGAAGGGGAAAGCGCATCCCCTGCTTCAGTAAACCCCAATATACATCGGTACACCCTGGAGGTAGGGTCGTGGGAGTGTCCCCATCTTCAGGAGCATACCCCACGTATTGACTGGTTACACCATACTGCTCAATCATGGATTGTGAGTTTTGGCCTAGGCGGATTTTTTCTTGAAACACCGGCCTCAACCCATAGGCTTGCAGGCCTCCCCAAGTGGTTGCGCGTTGCCCTGGTAATTGCGTTCTTCATTGTCTTAGCCTCCATCAGCCTCCATCACTATCACTACAACATTCACAAGGTGCCTATTAAGTAAACCATCTCCCTCTGAGAAGGCCACAGTCACCTCACCCGGACCATAGTCCTCCTCATAATACGAGTACGGAGACCCGCCAGGGAAATCCGGCAACACATCGGCATAAGGGATACTGGAGGTAGCAGAACAATCTTGTGCTACTTCCACGGCGGGTTCACCTTGTTCAACCCACCATGGTTGTCTAATACTAGAAGAACTTGACGATGATGCCATTAAAGAGAGAAAGCATAAAAGAACAAAGGCGTACTTTAAAGTGTAGTGTCATACAACTAAATGAAACTCCTACTGATGCTAAACCACGATCACCGCCTCGACTACCTCCGAAAAAGAGCGCACAAGCTTTCCTTCCGCCAAACAGTGTTGCAAACGCTTTCTCTCACTAAATTTTATCACTGCTTTCTCTCACTAGAAATCTTTTGAGAATGAAATTGTGAATGAGAAATATATAAAGAGAAACATTTGCCTTGAAAAATGAGCTAAAGGACACTTGTTATTCATGCGAAGGAAGGGTGTCACACACACTTGTTACTCATGCGAAGGAAGGGTGTCACACACACTTGTTACTCATGCAAATGTATGCTTATCATCGCCCACCCAAGGGGCTCTTAGAAAGCATCAGTTATATCACCGCCCACCCAAGGGGCTCTTAAAAAGCATCAATTATATCATCGCCCACCCAAGGGGCTCTTAGAAAGCATCAATTATGTCATCACCCATCATAGGGGCTCATTATGGGGTGGTCCAAGACCGTACCGTTCCAAGGTAGGCCTAAAAGTGAGACCGTAATAAAAAAAATGGCATTTTCACCATGCTAGAGGCCTTATTTGCAATTCCGGTGGGCCTTTGGAGCTTCAGCACCACCTAGAGCTCAAAAAAATTCACAAGTTGAAAAAAAAGTTTGCTTGATTCGGACACTCGGGGATCAAGTTATGGCCTCCCGAAGTATTCGTCAAAATTTATTAAGTAACGGGCAACATTGCTCCCCGTGGGTGATGAGATGGGTCATTTTTAAGCATTCTTAAAAATAATATATGGTTCCCAAGACACTCCATCACCCACATGACACCCCGAGCGCCAAAACGACCTCTTTTATAAGTTGGAAAGACGTGCAAACGTGATCAAAAAAGTCTGAAGCCATTGGTCGAGGGTTGAATCATCGCCCATAAAGATAAAAGGTTACAGTACACAAGAAGATTATCGCCCACCATGGGTGGCCTAAGTCAAAATCGCCCACCATGCTAGTGCGAGCTGGTGCTCAGCAAGCATGCTGGGCATCAGCGCCCAGCTGCTGGTGCGTGCTGGTGCCCAGCAGCGCTGCCAGGCATCAGCGCCCGGCAAGCCTGCCAGGCATCAGCGCCCAGCGAGCCTACCAGGCATCAGCGTCCAGCAAGCCTTCCAGTCAGCAGCACCCAGCAGCTAGCTGCCAGCACTAGCGCCCAGCAGCAGCTAGCTGCGTGCCAGGCAGCATCAGCGCCCAGCACCCGCAGGCTGCTTGCCAGGCAGCATCAACGCCCAGGCTGCGCGCCTAGGCTACCTGCCAGCAGCATCGACGCCCACCAGGAGCTCGACCAAAAAAAAAAATTATCGGGTCGATTGATTTCATTCGATCAATATCTTTCCGACAAACTCCCAAACCGCAGAGTGTGCTTTACGACTTTGTCGTGGGCTAATGTTTGGACCCCCTGTGGGCCCACGCTCATTAAATACATAAATTACCAAAATGCCCTTAGTTAAACCCTAAACATGAAAATTAAATCATCATGCACAACACGCATCCCGAGAAACCCTAATATAACCCAACAGGGCCTAACACGGCCCAGAACGGCCAGAATCCCTAATCCTTACCCTAATCAAGTTAGTTAATTCTCTCCTATAAATGCTAATCTTCACAGATTAGCGAGGTAATTAATTCTCTCTCTCTCTACAAATTCTCTCTCTAAACACAGTTTATTAACTTAACCGTCGAAGGGGCTTTCTCGGGAACACCCCCCGAGGCAGTTGACTTTCGTTGTTTTGCAGGACTCAGTTTGACCAGACGAGCAGGCTCCCCTTCAACTTCGATCCGAAATTCTTTTGCATAAACAGTAATTATTGTGATGATCACGATTTACAATTGCAATGAAATGAGAAATCGGAATTCATCAACCTTTTTAGCTTAATACATTAGGTACGGCATTTTTTATAATAAAATTCATGAATTTACCCATGTACTTGAAACATTTTGAAGCGGAGAAGCTGCGCATGTAGATTGGAGCAAAATGAACAATACTACTGATGATATTCTAGCTAAATGTATCTTTTCAATGTATTTTTGACGTACTTAGGACTATTAATGAGCCTGCTCGTCAACTGTTTGAGCTCGACTCGGTTAAAGCTCGATTCGGTATGGCTAAGCTTGAGACTAAACAAGACGATACAAAGCCATGCTAAGTTCGGCTCAAAAAACTCGCACGCGGCTTGAGTTACATTTTTTTTAATAAATATTATATTTATTTTTTTTAATTTAAAATAAGTTAATATAATAAATATTATATTTATTTTTTTAACATTTAAATAAAGTTAATATGTATAACTAGGTTAGTTCCCGTGCCATGCACGGTAATTTTAATAACTATTATTAAACTATCATTATAATCAGTTTTTATGAAAAAAAAAATAAAAAATCTATAAATATAGTAGTTTACAAATTTTGAGCAAAATAAAGGATTACGTAAGATATGTTAGATATAAAACGGTGTTGAAAATTAGTAAAATAAAGGAATTCATAAATTATGAGTTAAGAAATTTTTAATAGCATATAAATATTCGTGTAAAATATATGTCAAATTTTTTTTATTTTAAGTGATTATATCGTATAATATTAGAGAATTATTTTTGTAAATAAATTTTGTTTCTTTAATTAAATTTTATTCAAAAAAAACTAAGAACACACCAGAATGACACGTGTCATTGCCGGTGTGTCTTTTAGTATATAGTTATTGATTGATAACAGCACCCCACTATTATAATTGGGCAATTTGGTAAGTTATCCATTGGTCCAACCCAATAATTTCCTAATTTCTAAACTCCCTAAGCAAACTCAATCACTCACTAATTAATTAGTTGTATTGGCCCTGTTCAAAGTTTAATTTCCTTGCCATTCTACATCTCTATCATTCCACGCCTCCACCTCATCTCTATCGCTCCACCTCCATGGCTCCATTTATCTCCCAATTCCCATCACTGTAACTCGACACCACCTCCCCATATCAACAACTGCATGGCACCGCACCTCTTGTCGCCACCACAGGACGCGCCTCCCACCACCGCGCATCACTACAAATATGGCCACTAACCCTGTCACAACACTTAAGTAATGAAGATTTGTGTAAAGTATCATGAAAGACTGGTTATATGACATGTATTATGTATTTATGGCCTAAATGAGCCTAATATCCAAATCGAGCTTATAACAACCTTGGTTTAGAATTTGAGACGATAACGAACTCGAGCCGATTCCACTTTTGCACTCAAAGCCAAGCTCAATTTTCAAGGCTCCGACAACCCATGAACTCGAGCCAAACTCGAACCCAAACACAAGAGCTCAAGCCGAGCCTACCAGTATTCGGGCTCGGCTCATTAACAACCACATACCTATAATGTATTTTTAAAGTATCTATAATATACCTATAATATATTTTTGATGTATCTATAATGTATGTATCTATATCTGTAGTACATTATTTATGTATCCGTACTTCTCACCTTCTCACAATAAGCATAATTCTTACCAGATCCTAACCCTATATATACATAGTTACATACATAACATGTGAGAGATATGTTGTTAAAATAGTGCTATTAATACCCCAACCCCCCCCCCCCCCCCCCCCCCCCCCTTAATAAAATAAAAAATGAGGTGACGATGTTACTTTAAGGTACTGTTAAGTAGATCTTCACATGCTAATATGCTATGTATACATTCAAATGGTCAAATACTGTAAATTGATTGCTACATAACCAGTAACTCGTATGTCTTCTTTCTAAGTTTATATGAGTGATGTTTTTGGCCACGCATATATCTATTGTAATGCACTGGATTGCCTGATGCATATATTAATGTGAAAGATCATGCTGTCAGCATGTTAGCAGTCACTCCAGTTTAGTATCAGCATCCTTGGCATTTGATTCACCAGTGATTTTTCCATGGTTAGCTATCCAGAAAGTAAGAACACTCGAAGCTGCCACAAACATCACCCTTCGCGGTGCCCACTTCAAACAGGATGCAACACCGATGTGACTAATCCAACGTCCAATCTGCAGAAAAAAATTATGATTCAGGTGAGCTAAAAGATAAAAGATGTGCATCACAAGTCATTAGAGATTAGAACAAAAAATCCTCAGACATCATGACTGCTGTTAGCCTTGAAACTCCAGCCTCTCCACCCACCCCACCCAAAAATTCCCAGTGGAACGGGTGGTGCAAAGGGGAGAGCCACCACACAATACTGCATGTCAGTACACGTACTAACAAAACAAAGGTACTTCCAAGTGTAAGAATGTGACAAAATTCCTACAATCTACTAGCTCTAGGAGGGAATGAAGGTAGTAGAAGTGACCATTCATTTGCATTTAGTTACCAATCCTAGTACCCATTCACTACTCTACACGCAATCACCCACTATTAGTAAACAACCATCTACTTTACGCATGTATCATCAAAGCCACCCAAAAACTACCAATTCATCCATTGAATTAATAGTCTATGTCCCTAAGCAATAAGCATAAAAAAAAAAAAAAAAAAATCAAAACCGACACCACTTCAACTTCAAATTCTTAGTCCAAAAATAATTTGCGGCTGGCAAACATGAATCGTCATAGGATTCGTCCCTGTTAAATATCACCAATCCAATTATAGAGAATTTATTTAAATTTCACCACTTATGATTTCAAGATTTACCCATTTAGCATTCTTCTTAGTAGTAGATTGGATTTTATACTATAATTACTTTTTTGTTAAGTTGGTGGCTTTCAAAGAATTAAGGTCCACAAATGCAATCCCAATGTGACTTAATTTTTTATACAACATCACAATTGAGTTACATAACCATGCCTTAAGTGTTCCTAAATTCCATTTGGTCACTAGTCACCATAGCCTATGATCTATAATCTAACACGACTCTAAATGCACACATCAAGTTCAGTACACCTCAATTCTAAGAGGATACCCACGAAATTTTGGAGCTTTTGTTGATAATTTATGTTATTGTTTAGAAAAAAAGAACTAAAACAAAATAAATAGAGGAAAGGAATATCCCACATTGAAAGATAAGAGCAAGGAATAGAATATGAGAGTTATAAAAACAAACTTTGAATGTCTTAGAAACAATGACTATGGGCACCATTTGGGCTCTTGTTAAATGAGGGCCAAAGATATTAATAGCCCATATTTTTTACTAAGTAAAAAATTTTAATAGCAAGATATTTTAGTTACTTTATCTAAAAAAAAAAATAAAAAAAAAATAAAATAAAATTAATTGCCCCAAAAATCACGCTTAATCATCTTTGTTAGATTCAGCGATTCCAATACAAATTCATCCGTCTCAATTCCCTTGTTAATTCATCTATCCCAATTAAACTTCCTTCTTTAATTCTTCAAATATTCATCTTCCCTTAAATTTGACAATTAATTTTCTTTCTTTAAATAATCTGATCAATAAATTATGAAGTACATATGGAAATCAAAAGGTTTTCCATTTTTAAACTGATTTATAACAATAAAGTATAGTGTTTTAACAGTTCAACTAGCCTTCTAGCCCGTGCAACAGTTTATTCAAGAATATTTGCATAGAAAGATGAATTAGAAAATATCAATAAGTCATTATAGTTATGATGTGTAATTGAAAACATGATTTTAAAAATTAAATTTTTGGAATTTTAATTTTTATGAGGATTAAATAAAGAAGGTGGAGGGACAAAAATTAAAGAGAGAAAAACAAAAGGTTGAATTGAAGAGGGGAGATGAAGATGAAGTGGGCATGGAAGATGAAATATAAGTTTAAAGAAAGAATTAAAGAAAAATAGTGTAATAAAAAATTAATAATGTAAGAAGACATGTGGCATTTGAGTTAGAGAATAAGATATTGAAATGTAATATGGTGGAGACGTGTTTTTCTTGTTTAGAGTTTTTATATACTAAGTATAGATTATCTCCTATATAATCCATATTCTAATTTTTTTCATCCAAAAAAAAAAATAATCAGAATACATTAATTGGGATAAAGCGATAAACTGAAGGTAAATCTTACATTTTTTCAAATTCTATTTGGAAAAAATTCTCATTATTCTACAAGGTTGAACTAAATGGGAAAAAGAAACTAAGAAAAAATATCACTTGAGGATGGATATGTCTTTTAACTTTATTCACAGCTACTACCATTATTTACATTATATTATGTGATTATTATAATATTTGTTTTGCTTAATACTTTAATTATGCCTACTAACATTAGAAGGTTAATACATGGTTCAACTTGTATTCTGTTACTATTATTTTTAGTAATAAGATAAATATAAAAAAATTATTTTTTAAATTATAAAGGGCCCAAATTATATTTTAGAGCAGGACCAATATATATATATACATATATATATATATATATATATATATATATATACTACCTCTTTTAACTATTATTTGCAACAAAGGAATATTATATATCTCACAAATAATACCCCTTTGTTGCAAATAATAGTTAACGGAGGTAGTGTATATATATATATATATATGGAGGGATCCGATGAGAATAGGTCTATATGTGAGAATTCATACTTATATGAGAATTAAAGATGGGCACGAGCCGTGCCGGCACGCGGGCGGCACGGGCCCGACACGATTCCGGCACGGGGAACGGCACAGCGGCCCACCTGTGGGTCGTGGGCCGTGAACAAAATTTTGGATTTTGGCACGAGCACGGCAGGCGACGCGGTGGCTGGCACGTGGGCCGGCACGCCAGCACGGCACGGCACGGTACAAAGCCCGTCAGGCACGGCACGAAGCCAGTGCCATAGCCGTTGGAAACTAGCCGTTTTCCAACAGCTATAATAACGGCTAGTTTTTGCAATTTTCCCACCCAAATTCCCTATAAACACCCCATTTCTTCCTCCAAATTTTTCACAATTCATCTCTTCTCTCTTATTCTCTAATTTTCTTACTCTCTAATTTCTACAAAGGCTACAATCTTACTCTCTTTTGTGAAAAGAAAGAAAAAAAAATCGTACTCTCTTATAAATTTTACATTTTTACTATTATTACTTTTATTAGTCTACTAAAAAAAAATGTTATATTTACATTCGGGAAATTATAAATTTGGGAAATTTTAAGTTCGGGAAATTATAAATTTGGAAAAGCATTGAAGCGTCATTGTAAGATCTAACTCTACTTTATTTTAATTGTTACTGTTATTGTTATTGTTATTGTTATTGTTATTATTGTTTTCTTGGAACAACTTAATTATATAAAAACTACTTTCTATTTTTATAGTGGATAATTTAGATTGTTAGTGAAATCTGTCTTAGGCGGGACTTGGGCTCTGGACAACGTTGTTCCTAACTTCTCCTACTTGGGATCTCATTGACCTAAGTAATCTACTATTATTATAACTATTTTTGAAAACTTAATTTGTATAAAAACTACTTACTAATTCTTATTGCTATTGTTATTATTATTGTTGTTAATTGTTATTATTATTGTTATTGTTAATTTGTTATTGTTATTTGTATTATTATTGTTGTTGTTATTTTTAAATATCATGGCATCAAACCCGAACACTTCCTCCTCCTCTAGAAAAGTCAAGTCAAAACGTAGGGAATCATCAAACCCAAACACTTCAATGGCCCCCTAACACCGTTCCCGTGCTTAACATGCCCTTTCACTCCCCTAACATGCCCTTTCCAAACACTTCCACCCCTTTCTTTCATCCCCAAACCACGGGAAGGTATGAACAAATGGATGATATGGCTCATTGGACTATGCCTAGTTCGGAATTTCAACAAACACAATTCTCACCTCATTTATACGGATCACAACATGAATTTTCAATTCCTAATACCCAAGGTAGCCAAACACAAGCCTCCGGGTCGAGTGAACAATCCACCCAAATTCCTAACACCCAAAATCCTAACATATTACAGTGGTGTGCCGAAGAGGAATTTGCTCAAACCAACCGAAAGAGTGAAGTTTGGGCACATTATCAATTAAGTAAAAATGGAACCAAAGCCCGGTGTCGGACTTGTGGTAAAATTTTCTCGGTCGATACCAAGGGAGGGACGAGACACCTTAGTAGACATTCAAAAAAATGTGGTGGACCATCTAATGATCCAACCCAACCCAAAATTTCTCAATTCCATCCACAAGGCTTCATTTACAATTACGAGAGAGATAGGGATGAACTTGGGATAATGATTGTACATGCCGAACAACCTTTTCTTTTCGCAGAAAATGATGCCTTCAACAACTACATTAACCGAGCACTACAACTAAAACACAAAAAAAAATCTCCCGAAAAACCGTTCGATCTGCTGCCATGAAGAATTATCTAGAGTATAAATTGAAATTAGTAAATGAATTGGCTAATCTTCCTAGTAGAGTTTCTTTAACCGCCGATGCATAGGATGGTGGATACGGACTTCACTATTTATGTGTTACTTGTCATTGGTTAGATAATGATTGGTTGTTACAAAAAACGCATCATTCATTTCAAAATGCTTGAATACCCTCATACTGGTCTTAACATTTCACATCATTTAATGGAAGCCATTGATACATATAGTCTTAGGGATAAAATCATGTCTATGACTTTCGATAATGCAACTTCTATGACATAAGTGCAAATTTGGTCAAATCCCAATTGACCGATGTTATATTAGATGGAGATTACTTCATGTTAGATGCATTTGTCATGTTCTTAACTTATGTGTGAAGGATGGGACACAAGCAATTGGTCCATTTTATCACAAAATAAGGAATGCTATTATGTCTATTAATAGCTCTAACTTGAGATATCAAAAATGGAAAGGTTTTTGCAGGCAACAACGGATAAAGACCATAAAAATAGCACCGGATTGTCCAACTAGGTGGAACTCCACCTATGAAATGTTGAGTCGGGCAATCGAGTACAAGGTTCATTTAACACTTTTTTACAATATGAAATTTCCACAATGTGCTTTACTAGAAGATGATTGAGTTAATTGTGAAAAATATATGCAGTTTTTACAATTACTATATGGTATGACACATTGTTTTTCTTCTGTATATA